AAAAGCAAAAGGATAATGGAGGGGGTGGTTCTTCATATTGGCATTCTTATCAAATATTTTCACTTGCTATGCTTGACTGAAAAGGAAGAGGTTGTTCTTGCACCAGTTGCCAATGAAAGGGGCAATTGCCTAGCAGCTCGTCTACCAGTGGTTGATGTAAGAGTCTTCTTTGTTTTGCTCCTTTCCGTAATGTTCTTCCTGAGAAGAACACAGAGTCCATAGCTGACAGATGGGAGCAGAGTGTGCCTCTCTCCGGTTTTCTGCTTCCAGAGCAACACAGAAGAATGCAAATTTATTGGTTGGTGAGTGTCAAAGCCATGTCCTGGCAGAAAGCAAGAGCATCCAAGAATACATGGCATCCAAAGATGAACTACTGAGGCAGCAGCAGACTTGGGAGGAAAATCAAGCAAAGAAAGCACCATGGCAAGACATGACTTTGCATGGGATATACCATTGACAGACTAAGACAGATAGCTAAGTTGGCAGACATTGGGAAAACCTAACAGTAGTTGGAAAGTACTGGACTGAAAGACAGCACTGAAGCGTTGATCATTGCAGCACAAAACAGTCACCAGATCCATAGAATCAGGGATCTACCATACTAGACAGGACCTGAGATACAGACTATGCAAAAAGGCCTCAGAGACAGTCCAACATATAATGGCAAAGTGTAAGATGTAGACAGGACCAGCATACAGGGAATGGCACAAGCAAGCAGCTGGCACTGTGTAAAGGAACATCTGTGCAGTGTACAGGCTAGATCTTCTCAAGGCTAGATAGGAGATCCAAGAGAAGGTTGTGGAGACTAAGAGAGCTAAGATTCTGTTGGACTTTCAGATCCAGACAGACAGGCAGGTATTGGCCAGACATCATGGTAGTAGACAAGGACCAGAAGACAGCAACTGTGTTAGATGTACTGGTACCAAATGACAGCAACATCAGGAAGAAGGCATATGAGAAGCTTTAGAAATACCAGGGCCTGAAGGAGAAACTAGAGAGGATGTGGACAGTAAAAGCCAAAGTAATCCTAGTGGTGATAGGCTGGCTATTCAAGGCTGGAAGAATGGCTCCAACAAATCCCAAGAACAACACTCAGAGAACATCAAAAACAAACAAGTGCCAAATATATTTTTCAGCCAATCTCGAGGTGTTTTTTAATGACTTACCCCTTTGGCTTTGCTTCTTATAAAAGTGTTTTTTAATGGCACAGCTAATTGACTATGAATAAATGATTATAAAGATTATAAATGTAACCATTATAAGGATTTTAAGTATTCTGTAATAAGAAATCCTTTATAATTCTTAAAATAAATAAACTGGATTAAAAACTTTTTTTAAAAGGCTATCTTGGTGCTCATCTACACATTGGGCTGACAATGACTGACTCAAATCACTCCGCAGGGTGGACTTGAACCCACTGTTATCACTAAATCACACCACCTCTGTCAGAGGAACACTGTTCCATGAAAGGTTGCCAAATTATTATTTCCTTTAATTCCTATTCTGGGAGGGGGGGAAGTATGCCAAATGCCTCTCTACTGAAGTGGTAACCTTGACACTCAGTAGAACATCTTGGGGTCGGTGGGTCAGTGACGAACAAGTGTTCCGAGGACATAACGGAGAAATGAATAATGGCTGACAAAAGGGGAGGGCTTTTCAACCAGTGGTACGGGTACCACCTGTGGTACACTGGCACCTGGCAGGTGGTACGCGACCATTCTAGAAAAGTGGTAGCGGGGGAGGGGAATGAGCTGAACCGGTGGCAGCACCGCACAAGCCTGAGTGAGAGATAGCTGGAGCTGCAGGGCTATCAAGGCTCAGCGGAAGTGCCAGGATCAGCGCTTCTTCGGGACTGTCAGGGCTCAGTGGAAGCACCAGGATCAGCGCCAGGCTTCAGCTGGAGCTCGGCGCTGATCCTGGTGCTTCTGCTGAGCCCTGAAGAAGCACCAATCAGCTGGAAAGCAGCACTGATCCTGGTGCCTATGCTGAACCCAGAAGAAGCGCTGATCAGCTGGAATGTTGCAGCATCTCCAGGGTCTTGTGATTTACATTCAGATGCTTGGCAACTGATTCATATTTATGACGGTCACAGTGTCCCAGGGTCATGTGAAGTGACCAAAACCTGCTGCAACCACCCAGCAGACAGAGGGAATAAAAACCAAACATCCACCCCACCTCCGCTGCCAATCCTCAACAGAAATGCTCACAATGAAAACCTCGGACAGGAGGAAGAGCGCCACCGGGCAGGCAGGTCTCTTGCTCGGCTGTAGCTTGGGGGGCACTTTTTTCAGTGCCATTGTAACTTCGAACTGTTGTAAGTCGAGGACTACCTGTACTTTATCAATTTTTTCCTTTTTTTTTTGGGTCATCAAGTTTTTGACACCTTGCTAGGTGACTGGTGGTACTCGGATAGTGCCATATCCTAAAAGTGGTACAATGGGTGAAAAAGGTTGAAAAACCCTGCACTAGGGAGCAATCAGGGAGTCCCAATTACCATTTTTGTTTACAACAAGGGTCTCCAACCTTGGCAACTTTACGACCTGTGGACTTCAACTCCCAGAATATGTCAGCCAAGCCATAAAGTTGCCAAGGTTGGAGACCCCTGGCTTACAAGAATCTCCTCCACTCTATCTCCCCAGGCGCAGACCGACTCTCACAAGCGCTTGAGAGTTCACCCTGCTTAGACCAGGATATCAATGGTGCCGTTTGGTCCTCTTGTCCCTAACCCTGCAGGTGCCATCATCCCTCCTTTCTCTCCCTTGTTCGGGGATCAGGTTAGGGAAGCCACAGCCCGGAGCAATCTTCTCCCGAGAGGTCCCTGGCAGGGCCTCCAGGTTTACTACACCCCCCCTTGCTCCTGAGCCAGGTGCGTTGCCGTGGCAACGGCGGACAGGAAAAAAAAAAAAAAAGTCCAGCATTCTGGGAGCAGAAACCCGCGGCCAGGAACCGCCACGCCTTCCCTGCCGCCTCTCTTCCACTTGGGGGAACATGGGGGCGCTTCTCGCCTGGGGCAGCCACGGCTCCAGCACCACCCCGAAACCTCGGTCGCCCCTGGGGAGAGCTCATGGTGCCCAAAGCTGAACCCTTGGTAGGCGGGGAGGAAAAGAGAGAGGGCAGCCGAGTTCTCCCGGGTGAAAAAGAGGCGTCGGGACTTTGCTGCGCTCAGGTGCCTGGCTCGCTTTTTTCCCTCTCCGCTCTTTGCTCGAGCCGGGACGGCGGTCCTGGCTTGGCGCGGTTCCCTTCCCTCTTCCCACCCACCCCCCGTCCCCGGATTTGTGGCTTTGGAGGCATTCTCACCCAGGGAAGTGCCCGATTCCGCAAAGTCGACGGCGCGGTCGTAAGGTGGATGGAAAGCCGCCTCTTTCTCCTACTTTGACAGTTGCGGTAGCTCGTGGGCGCAAACGGCAGAGTGGCTTTCGGTCCCGTGGCAAAAAAAAACCTCTCTCCTTTGGGAATCAAGTTCCAAGTGATCAAAATTGGCGGTGGTGAAATGCAAAGACCCTCTTGGGAGATATAAGAGGGGGGGAAAGTGTGTTTTTGCGTGTGTGGGGTGTGTGTGTGTGTGTGAGAGAGAACGAGCAGACTTAATGCGTTTGCAGGAAGAAAGGAAACAGCTCAATTTGTTGGTGGTTGGATCCTGCTGAAGCTACAATAACAATGTAGCAGCACCAAAGCAGCCTTAGGCCTGGTGTTCACTCAGGTGTGTGTCTGTGTGATGTATGTAGTAGGGCGCATCTTTGCAAAAAGTAGACAGAGGTTTGGACTAGCAGGTTGGCATCCGATGTTTTCCTTCTTACCTTAACTCAGGTGGTGGAGAACAAAATCTGAATGAATGAAATGGGCCAAAATTGAGACTAGCTACATACCTTGAAACCAAATTACAATGAAATGTAGTGATCTTGAGGTGATTCAATGTATGATAAATTTGGAGAGTTATTTGTAGGGAACTCATAATTTTTAATGCTTCTCTTTGTAAAAAAAAAAAAAGCACCCCTTTCTGTTAATATAAATTGATAAATAGTATAAAGCAAAAACTTTTCTTCTCAATATAATCAATTTTGGGAGTGGCATTTTAATATGCTGGGAATCATCATACCTTTTAACCAGTATAGGTGAATTGTATAATTGAAATCATTTTTAAGATTGTCCCTTTCTGCTTACTGTTTAATCTCTTCAGTAGAAGCAGTGAAGAATGCTAATATCTCATTCTACTCTGTTTTATTTTTTTCACTTTTTATTCCATTGAAAAATTTCCATTTTAATATGAACATTTTTAAATAAATTTTGCAACCTCCCAACTATTGACCCTATGTGATTTTTCTATCCTTTGCCATTTTTTGTGTGCTTCTGCCAGCTGGTATTAAAATCACTGTAAATTACATTATGCATGTCTTTTAATATTTGATAATAAACACTTCCTTTATCCTTCCATCTCTGAATTTCATGGTAGGCTTCTTTAGACAGTCACTTTATGGCTATTTATTTTTTTAAGTGAAAAAGATAAGCAAGACAAAACAGAATGAATAAAAAGAGATGTGAAGATGTGATACTTAATTGCAAAATTTTTAAAAACGGGTTTTCTGGGGCTTCTATAACAGCAGATGTGGTTTCTTGACTGTATGCAATAAGCATTTCTGCTTTGCATCTTTAGTTTGTGTGAATATGTAGGGAGAAGGATGACTTTATTATTCTTAAGAGACTGGCAAGAATTGGTTGCCTAGCAGAAGGACTCTTTGAACTGTTATGGAACTGAAACCTTTGGGAGAATTTAAGAGCCTCCCTGTTTTTTTAGAAATAGAAATACTATTGGCGGTTGCTCTGGCGTGCCAGTCATGCTGTAGATGTGTATGCAGTGCCTATACTGCAAACTGGAATTCAAAGATAATTGTCAGAGAAAAATAGTGAAAGAAAATAAATTCTATTCTTCTTAAACCTACAGGTTTGCAAACCATTGTGTTCATTACCAACTGGACCCAGGACAGGAGAGTGCAAAGACGGCTATGAGTAGTCCCAGTGCCAAGCCAACATGTCTGTCACAGCCTGTGGTGAAGAGTGTGATGGTGTATCGCAATGGAGACCCTTTCTTCCCTGGGCGGCGTGTTGTTATCCATGAGAAGAAGGTTTCCAGTTTTGATGTCTTTCTAAAGGAAGTGACAGGTGGTGTGAATGCTCCTTTTGGGGCTGTGCGGAATATTTATACACCCCGTGGTGGGCATCGCATTCGTCAGCTAGATGAGATTCAAAGTGGAGAGCACTATGTTGCTGGTGGCAGAGAAGCTTTCAAAAAACTAAAGTAAGTAGTCATATGTTCATTCCAACCAACATGATATAGAAACTGAAATGTGCAATCTTTTATATATAAGTCCTCCAAGGAGGGGTGAAAGCATTATTTTTCCTTAGATTTAAATGTTTTAACTAGACAATGGTTCATAGGCCCAGTTCCCCAGTCTTTCTCTTTGTCTTTCCACGTATGTAGCTTTATCTCCCTATACATTTTTTCTTTCAGAAATGATGGAACATTTATGTGAAAAGTACCGTTCCAACATCATTAACAATTTTGATTAATTGAATTTTGATTTAAAGCTACCATTCAGAAGCAAGCCATTTGGAATTCTTTATATATCTTTAATGTCAGTGGTCCTCACTTGCAGTTACTATGATCAATAAAAAAAAGAGTTCGTAGATCTAGTCCTAAATCTCTGAAAGGTGCCACATTACCTATTTCAGTATACATACTAGGGTGACTAAAAGACAAAAGAGGACTGATAACAGTAGAGGACTGATAACAGTGGAACACACTGGTATGACAGACTTAGCTTGTCATGCAAGCTACTCCTGATGAAAGTTCATGGATCATTAACAGAACATTTACAGCATTGAAGCCAAACTACAATTCCCATAATTCGTCATGGGAAGTAGAAATGGGGATTACTATAAAATAATGTAAACCAATACGAGTTTAGAAAATAGGTAGGCTTTAGTATACGTTTACCCTTTGTTGCCTGCTTTTAGAAATAAAACTTGCTGATGTTGTGTTTTTCTAATATGTTTTTAAAAACTAATGTCAGAGGTAATATATATGTACTGTATACACACACACACACACACACACACCTTTTGTTAGTTCCATCCCTGCACTTTGCATTGTCTTTGGTTTAAACGCTATTGCCTATAATCTTCTCCTATGGCTAATTAATTCCAGTCTAGTTAATCAATTATTAAGAAAAAATTCCAAATTCTCCACAAAATTATACTTTTTAAATTAAGCAAGTATAGTACATTACATCACTTTACAAGTATATATTTATATATAATAAAATATCCTAAAATGTAGAGTACTCCCATCATCATAAAATATTAATTCCTTGTCATTGTTATTTGCTGGAATCATAAATCATATTAAGCTTATAATCACTATAATGTGGCTTATTGGTTAAGCACTTTTCTAGTGAATGTACTGCAGAGCCACCCAAAGTTGCCAAACCTTTGTAGTAACTAAAAAATATAAGGAAATATTCCTAAACAGCCTACTAAGAATCGAGTTTGTCACATGGTTATAATGTTTTGGCTGGTTATTAGGAAAAACCATGAAAATAAGAAATATAAGACAAGAAGAAAAAGAATATTCTTGTAAATATAGTATTGAATAACTGAAACTTTACAAGTTTTTTCATTTTATATTAGTATATATCCTCTTTTGTTTTCTTGTTTTTCAGCTATTTGGATATTGGAGAGCCAAAGAAAAGACCGATGGAAAATAATAATGAGGTAGTGTATTGTACATATTAATATAAATCTGTATTACACTTGAAGTATAAACAAAACAAAATTTTATTGATTTAGATTTCAGTCTGCTCTGATTTATTTGGAAATCAAAGGGACATTTCTGAGCAAACGTTTATAGCAGGGGTCCCCAACCCCCGATCCGTGGACCGGCACCAGGCTGTGGCATGCCAGCAACCGGTCCGCACAAACAAGCAAAGTCCCATCCGCGGGATGCAGGTAGCACACAAAACCACACCCCCTCCGGTCTGCAGAAAAACCTTTCTCCACAGAACCGGTCCCTGGTGCCCAAAAGGTTGGGGGCCTCTGGTCTATAGCTTTGTTTTATAAAACAGCATTTATATATTAGATTAAAGCTTAAGATGGTTTGTTTGGTCTGATTTATTGAGATTTGTGAACACAGATATTTTTGTTTGCCCATGTAGCAATAGTAAAACAAGTAGTGTGCTGTCTGAGCTCAGGAATATGCTCTAATTTTTAAAGAGATTTAGAAAGTTAAAATCTAGAAAACTGCATTGTTAAACCAGTCTGATTAATAGATGCTATTTTTACAGCTTTTGTATCCTGTTCTCCTGCTACCTTTTCTGTATCAAGCTAGGATATCCATCTCTGAGATGGAAACATCCAGATGATCACTAGGTGGAAGCAAAGAGATGGTTTTCTGTTAATCTTTGCTACCTTTAATAACCTTGTGAATTTTTAGAGCCTGGATACTTGAGGGACTTGGCAGTTTACAAATAAGCCAGACAGACAAACCAACATGGTAACTCAGTTCATGCAGGTGCAATGTCAAAATTGTTTTCCATATTGTAACTTATGTGAGATTTCTACTGCTTGAAGTGGGCTCCTGGAAATTGGGACTTTATGGTCTTGAGGTGATGGAGAATTGCCTGGATATTCCTCCAAAGCCAGGACTTGATTTAGGTTAAAACTGGGATTTGCACCTAATTAAGTAGATTTGTTGAGATCCTAAAACCCAGACTATGATATGCTACCTTAATCTGCATCAAGCTTTGCAGAGTGGTTTGTGTTATTGACAGACCATGATAGTGGCTGTTGTTCAGCTGTTGAAAGCTCTTATCGCCTAAGAATGAATTGTAAAATGACAAAAGTTGAAACAGGCAACTTCTGAGGATCCTATACAAATATGTTTTATATATTCTGAGGCATTGACTTGACTATTGATGTTTGGTTTCACAATCAGGGGAACCAGAGGTATAAGCCATAATTTGTCCACCACTGATATACGACAGTACAAGATTATGTTAATATTCAAATATATTCTGCTCTAGATTTATACTTTTTTAGATTTTTTGGGGTTACGTTGTCTTACTCTATTCGAGGTCTTTTTTTCCCTAGAGAAAAGATTTTAAAGAATGAAATATTGAGAACACTAAGCAAATAGAATATCTACTGTTATTTGGTACAATATATGTGAGAGAATGAAAATGTGTCTTAAAAATAAAGAGAAGTATTGTAATTTCAATGACTGTTTTGTGTGAATCAAAATGTATAATAAACTCATTTACATAATATGGAGGATAGATGGAAGAATAATCTGAAATTTAGATGAAATTAAAAAGTAATGCAACGCTGTTGGATTATTTAGATACTTTTTTCTTTAGAATTCTTTCCATGGTTATTGCCTCAGTTGTAGCACTGATAAATTTTGAAGATGAGCACTTAAATAATACTAATATTTCTGCCTATTACCAGTTGTCATAACTTGGGGTTAAAAAGTCATTGCGATTGAATCTAACTGATTTATAATTGAGAATTGTTTTTAATTTTTAAATGGACATTTTAAATAGGATTTAAAGTGGTTTACCTATAGAATTTTATTCATCATAGGCACAGCTAAATCCCTTCAGTATTTAGAAGCATATGCTTTGCAAGCTTTTAAAGGAATGGTATGATTTCTGATATGCATTAACTCATTTATAAGATAATTTATCCTCTTTGTAATAGATCTACAGATACACAATTTAGCACCAAATTAGATAATTTCTGTCTTTGTAAATAAAAGCTTCTGTCGGTGATAGAAGAACATGGCATTTTTGGATCTTGTTCATTACTTGAGTTAAAAATTTAAATAGGATTCCCCAAAAGGTCTTGAGATATATTGTAGGAAATACCATCAAGTCTGGAGATTAATTCAATTTCAGTTTCTGTATTGCTTCTTTGATTTCATCTTCTGTTATTAATTAAATAAGGTTTCCTCTTGCTGCTCTGTGAATTTTATGAATAGCATTGAATCTAAATACTCATTAGTAATTAGATGTCTATTTACTAAGTAATCTCAAGCAATCATTAACAAATTGCCTGCCCCAACATCTCTTTTAGCTTGTCTTCGAATGGTGTCTTTTCCACATTTCAGTTCTTAAATGGATACCAAGTTCTTCAACTATTTACCACATTAATCAATAGCCAACAATCTATATTTTGAGTTGTCCGTAAGCAGTACTTTTATTAACTTGAAAACTGGAAGTACCATATAGCCCTTATGATTATCTAATATCTAATTAGCTGTCTAATTTTGTGACAGGTGTTAAAAAGCTGTTTTCTTTATTTTGAATACATTTTGGATAATTTCCAAAGCTATATCATGTTAGCTGCCTTTTTCTCAGCTAACATTTCCCAAAGGATGTATCTTTCCTAGGGAAACTAAAGTGCGTGCTCCATGTTTATCACAGTTGCTATTTTTGTGCACCTTTTCTCTACTGGAACAATTTTCTGACGCTGAAATATTCAAAATATTTAACAATGTGCTGAATGTATTTTTTTTAATGATTTAAATTGGAACTTTTAAATCATTATAAACTAACAGTCCTATCTTTTCAATATATATCCTGAAATAGTATTTTTTCCAAAGTTGGAGGTTATCAGTTAATATTACTTAATCTAGATTTTAGTCTGAAACCTTGAAGCACCACTGCAAGAAAATGTTTCTGGGAACCTACACTGAACTTTTTCACTTAGCAGTAGTGTATATGTGCAACTTACTGAGAGAGGGGAGGATTTTGGAAGTACTTGAGCTATTACTCAATAATAACTTGAGTTATTACTTTTATAAATGTGTGCCTGGTAACCATCATGATCATTCATTCAGCAACCATTTGAAGTTAGATTAGTGCTGAATGAATGGTATTTATGACTAGTTCTCAAACGTTATGCCCCCTCCATGGTCACATGATCAGAATTTTAACCCTTGGCAGCCTGCCCTCATAAGATCTCAGAGGTGCTGTAACTTTCCCCATCTGCCTATCTTCTCCCCATCCCTGCCGTTTTGACTGCCTTACATTCTGCTCTGAAAACGCCCATCCCACTATGCCCTCTGCTGCCCCCATCATCCCCAGACAGATATTCTATGTCTTCTTTTCCCTGATGCTGCTGAGGTACACCTGGGGCTCAGAAATGGCCAAACAGCAGGTCATTAACTTCCATGTCATTAACTTCTATAAAGCTATCTTTGTAATCTTTTCACTGGTGTTGTATTGTTCTTTAGGTTTGCTCAGAAAGAAGATAAAAAGTCTTATCTAAATGATGAGCTTGTTCCTTTAGTACTAATAAGGCAATTCATTTTGTCCTGTAGATTTAAATTCATTTGCAGTAAATAGGTATTCTTTGACTGGGTTTCTATCAATCTCATCTTCTTTCTGCCTCTTCTTCCTTTTCTTCACAATTGCCTCATGGAACACATGCCCTCCTCTTAGAGAAGATTGAATCAAAATAAATGTTGAATAGTTCCTTCTTTTTTTATCTGTTAGCAATTTTTCATTTTCCCTGAGCATCTATGTACTGATTTTTCCCCCTCTTCCTTTTGTTCTGAACATAGCTAAAGAAATCCTTTTGGATTTCTTTTGTATTCTTTGCAAATCTCAGTTTAATTTGAAGTTTTAACTCTTCTGATACATTTCTACAATTCTTAACGATCTATACGTAATCTTCCTCTTTTCATCTCATATAGGTATCTTTTTTAAAAAAAAATTATTTCAGGGCTCCAATAAATCTTTTGTGCAGTTACTTTGGCTGCCTCTACTGTCCTACATTCTTTTCCTCATTAGGATATTTCCAGCTGTGTTTTTAATATCTCCTTAGAAACTCTCACCAATCTTGAGTTCCTTTTCCAATTAGCTGCTCTTGCCATGGAATCCTATTTATCATTGCTTGAATTTGTTGAAATATGGGGTTTTTTTGAAACTGAAATATGTGTTCAATTACATTCAGCTTTGGTTTCCTTAAAATCAGGAATTCCAGCATTATATGACCGCTTTCCTCTGAGCCTTCTGGTATTCTTGCTTTCTTCTTTAACAGTGAAAGTATTCCCTTTTGGTTATCATCAAGTCAGGAATAGCTCTTCTTCATCCCTGAAGGAAAAGCCATCAGTAAGAAAAGTAGGCAATTCTGCAGAATATTTAGCAGAGTTTAGCTTCTAGTAGTTATCATGAAGCTTCCCATCATTACTACTTCATGTCACTTGGAAACATCTGCAATAATTGTTGTTGTACCAATTGTTTTGTTTTTGTTTTGGATTATAATCTTCCGAGAGGATAATTGCTAACAACAGCCTGACTATAAATATAAAGACTGTAAATATATGTCATTCTACATGTACACAAAAGTTGCTACCCGGAATCTTACAGGAACCTCTTGTTTTGTAAGATGCCAGAACAACAATTTTCTTTTTGTAAGACAATTTTTTAAAAAAAATGACATTTAAAATAGTTGTTGTTTCATGAACCCTTTGCGCTCTTTTAAAAAAATGCATCTTTTGAGCAGCACTGTAAACAAAAAACAAGAAAATATTGTAATCTGTACAGGAGAGGGAGAAAAAACACTTAATTTTTATATGATTTGAATAATCCAGCTCTTAACTATTGCATGTTTTTAAAAATGTAGCTCGGCAAGTTGTTTGGTAGTTAGTATCTTGGTAACCTAATGAGCACTGCAAGACATACACTGTTATTCTTTTGAAGTGAATACCTTGAGGATTCAATGTACTGTAGTATTGACGAGAATGCCTGTGAAAATAAAAATGTTATTTCTAGTTTACATGTGTACTGATAATTGTAATTGTGTCTGAAGAGATGATTCCAACCTTCAATAAAATTGCATATGCTGATTTATTAATGTACAGTACATTTAGAAAGTCATAGTAATTTCAACATTTCAACATGTAAAGTACATCTCATTATGGTGGACATGTCTGTATATTTATTTATTTATTTAGAAAAATTTATATGGCTGTCCAACTCACAGTGACTTTAGGTAGTTTACAGAAATAAAACCCCAATACAAAACTCAATAAAGCAATCTAGAACTAAAAAGAAATTTCCTGACAGTTAGAACAATTAACTAGTGGAACAACTTGCTTCCAGAAGTTGTGGGTGCTCTAACACTGGAAGTTTTAAAGAAGAGATTGGACAACCATTTGTCTGAAATGATATAGGATTTCCTGCCTGAGCAGAGTGTTGGACTAGAAGACCTCCAAGGTCCCTTCCAACTCTGTTATTCTATTCTGTTCTGTTCTGTTCTAGTCTAGTGTAGTCTAGTGTAGTCTAGTCTAGTCTAGTCTAGTCTAGTCTAGTCTAGTATTTCTATTTCTATTTCTATTTCTATTTCTATTTCTATTTCTATTTCTATTTCTATTTCTATTTCTATTTCTATTTCTATTTCTATTTCTATTATTTCTATTTCTATTTCTATTATTTCTATTTCTATTTCTAAACCCCCGTCCCTTTGGTAACAAAAAATCCAACCTCTTGATGAGCTCCATATCATCTTGGGATCCTTAGGCACATTGGCAAAACCATGTCTTCAAGTTGCCTTTTGAAAGAGAGTCAAAGTGGGAACCAATCTTATTTATGCAGTGGTGATGTTCCACAGGGAGGGAGCCACGTGAAGAAAGCCCTTCTTCTTGGTCCCATCAGATGACCCTCATTTAAGAGAAGGGATCCAATATATATCCCTACATCTTTGTTCTGATGGGTTGAATAGATATAACTGGGAAAAGATGGTCCCTTTGAATAACCTGGCTCCAGATCAGGGATTTAAAGATAACAACCAACACCTTGAATTGAACCTGGAAGCAAACTGACAGCCAATGCAGAATAGAAATATCCAACTCTTGAAGCAGAAGCTTGAATCTTGTCTCAGAATAGGCATATGCTATATATGTTATATGTGGTATATTGCGAAGTTATGACCAATAAATATATCATTTTGATTTTTACAATCTTGGTTAATTAACATCACATTATGATACCATAATCAAAAGAGCTGAAAAATGTTATAATATTAATACTGTTAATTTAACATTTAATTTAAAATTTAACATTTTCAGGCCATACTTTATAAACTGAGTTTACTTTACACTTCTGTTTGTACCCTATTGATTGGATAGTTATGGAAGGTATTTATTACACATAACAAAATCATTGAAGAAGTTACACTTTTTGCACCTTATTGATTGATTCAGAGCCTTAATGAAAGCCCCAAATGCTAAAGGCTGAGGCCTGAGAATGTGAGAGTAATAATTAATAAAATTATTTAATTTTATTAATTGTTTTTTTAAATAAAAATGATTTTCATTTCTGAGCACTGTATATCTTGTTCATAAATATTGAAATGACGGCATCAAGAAAACGTTGTTAATAAACATGATATTGGGTGAACTGCATAACACTTTATATACTATATGTGGTGTATTGCAAAGTTATGACCTAGATGCTAAACATGTTTTTTTGTTTTTTTTTTTGCCAACAGTTATCTCTGGAAGATGTAAGTGTCTAAACTGGATATTTATATGTTTATTATTAAAATATTGCCCAAATATTTGACAGTCTGTACGGCTGCATGTAAAGTATGCAACTCTTAAAGCAGAAAGTAGAATGTAAATACAGTATCTATAATAAAATCAGGATGAATGTCATCACATGTCACTATGAATAACGTCTGACTATATGTACATAAATTGAGAATTGTTAATGTATATAATGACTTTCTTACATCCAATCAGTGTTGTAGGATTTTGTATGCATAGTCCCTAGGAACTGCTTTTTCATTGGGAAACTGATTTTAGACCTTTCTTTTCCCCTGCACTCCTCTTAAAAACTTCACTTTGCAGTTGTAGACTCTTCCTCTCAACCCATTCAGTCATTTTGTGTGTACAATATATAACATATTATAATATGATATGATATAAGTATTGAAATGCAATCATGATTTATTCTCTCTGTAAAACCAAACTCAATTTATTTTTTTTTGTAATGGTCATATAACCATTCAGTCAAACATTCATTTAGTACACATTTATTCTTAACCCTACTGCTTCATTGTTGACCATATTGCTTCATTTTTGACCCTATTCAATCTTTAATACTCCAGTTAATTGTAATTATGTAATTTCCCCCACTCCTTCTTTTTGATGGAATCTACTTAGAAATGACAGTCATCTTGAACAGAGGATGTCAGAGTTGTTTAATCTTCTCCCTATCACCCATTTGTCTACTGAGTATCTTATAGTTTCTGCTTCAACCTCACTGAAGGAAAGACACTCAAATGTGTGGGATAGGAATGAAATTTAGATCAGGCAAATGATTAACAGGACTAAAGAATTCCTTTCTTTTCCCATGTTACCAGTTTTCCCCTTAATATTTCACTTTTGTGCAGGCTTTTCATTAATGGAGAAAGAGAGAATTGCACAGGAAATGCAACTATTTATGCTAGTTCATAAATAACCTATGTTGACTGTAAATGATCTAACAATATAAAAATTAAATTTTGCTAGAGAACAGTAACAGAATGCCCTATTGGCTCACTGGACTTATCATATGGATTCCTTCTTGTGCTTAGGAATGCTGATTCTCAGGCAAGATAGATATAGGCAGGGATGCAGGCAGACAGATAAGATATATGAGTAGTTACTCTGTCTGAGTGTATGTACTTATGCATTCAGTATAAGAATTTGTTACAGCTTTTTTTGCACTTACTTGGTGGGTACTTGAGGATTAATCCATAATCCATTAGTCTATAGAAATTATATTCTTAGTACCAATAGATAACTCTTCCAAATAATCATTGAATGGAAGAAGTGAGGGATAACCTTATACCTGATTTCTGTATATTCCACTGATTTTCTGAAACAGATCATGCGTGTATAACCTGCAAGAGCTATCCCTTTGCAGATGAGATTGGAAAATTAGCATGAATCTAATATTCTGCTTGACATGCTCTTCAGTAATGGGAAAAGAGATAATTTTTCAAGGTGTATCTTAAAGTGTTCCTTTAAAGTTTTCTTGAGGTCGGAGTATGATACCGTTTCCAGCGAGTCCGGGGCGATTAAGCTCTCGGNCAACTTAAGTGAAACAGGAGGTCCTGTGTAGGACCCAAGTTCAGAACTGAACACATCTGCAAACTCCTTGCATACGTCAGCAAGGGTCTGTGTTTGCAATTTATTTAGCCCTGTTACCTGAATTCCCAAGGCCTCAAACCAATCGAGTCCAATGAGACTCGTTCGCTCACCCCCCACAACCAACACGTCTAGGGGGCCTTCAAAATTCTTGTACTGTACCTTAAGGGTGGCCTCCCCCTTAACGCACACTTTAGAATTTTGGAAATCCGTAAGGATCACATTAGAGGGCCTTAATGAAACTCTCTGGCCACTGCTGCTGCAGATTTTGTGAAATGTTTTGAGGGAAATTATGGATAGGGCAGACCCCGTGTCAAGTTCCATCGATAATGGAATTCCCTGCAATTTCACTTTAAGTGTTAGCTTCTTTTTAAGGGGTTTGTGTGTGCCTATTCTTAAAATGTTCCGGCGTGTTGCACAGAACCCCACCCTGTTTTGGCTGGGCACCCTGGTACCTTTCGGATTCAATTCTTCCTTTGGTTGTACCTTCTGTCGACCCAGGCAGACCGCAGCGATGTGGCCCTTCTTTCCGCACGCACGGCAGATGGCGGAACGGAACCGACATTCCGCTCGCTTGTGGCGTCCACCACATCCGAGGCAACGAAGCTCAGCTGGGCCCTTGTCCTGACGATCCTTGGACCTTCTTCCAGCTGCTTGGTAAAGCTTGTCTTCCTCTTCTTCAGGATCTTCGTCCGAATCCTCGCGCACGTCTTCCTTGTGAATAGTGGCGGTCCCTGGAACGTTTCGCTTAGGCCTCATGTTTTTGACTGCCCCGCCGGCAGCTTCTTCGGCCGAAACCTCTCGCAGAGCATCTTGGAAGGAGACATTTTCCCTGGCGAACAGTCTCGGAAAATGTCTCCTTCCAAGATGCTCTGCTGCAATTCTGTGTTTCTCAGTCCGCATACAAAACGATCGCGCAAGACAAGTAATTGCAGATGCTCTTGGGGATGCCTTATCGTGCGGCCAGGAAATCTATCTTGAAATAGAGCGTGTGTTTAGGGTAAACTCCTGGATTGCAAAGCAAAAGAACCTACCCAGAGACATTGTGATATATTTTACAAGAAAGTCTAGACGCAATGAAATAATGCAGCTCTTTTATCAACAAAGATTTAAAATTTTGAATCAAGACATCATTCTTTTAAAAGAAATTCCAGCAAAAATACTTAGAGCGCGCAGAGATTATGCTTTCTTGACACAGGAGCTGAAGCTCAGACAGATAAATTTTAGAT